GAGGGCCCTGGCGACTCTGCCAGGCAACCTGCCCGTCACCGAAGGACAGGTCCTGCGAGACCCACTCGTGTGAGTCCCCAGAGGGGCCAGACCCAGAGACAGTGGCGTGGTGGGGCCGGGGACAGGCGGGGCCGGGGAGTTGGTGTTTGACGGACCGAGTTCGGTTTGGGACAGTGAGGACGCCCTGGAGGACAGCGTGAAGCTGCACTGCCGCGTGGACGTGCTTCCCGCTGCGGAGCTGTGCGTCTCAGACTGGCTCAGCTGATGCGTTTCACGTGGATTTTACCACAGTTTAAGGAAACAGAAAAAGGGCTGGCGAGTGCTGGCAGGTGGGGGTGGCCCTCACCGAGGCCACATTGAGCAGAGACCAGACAGAGGTGACGGGCTGCCCGGTGGACACTGGGGGGAACAGACTCCAGGCTGCAGGCACAGCTGGTGCACGACCGAGTCAGGAGCGTGGCTGGCGGTCAAGGCAGGAGGGGAGGGCGAGGGCGGGAGCCACGGGTGCCGGCGAGGGCAATGGGGTGAGTCAGATTGCGGGAGGAGGGGCGGTGTCAGCAGGCTCTGCTGGAGCTGGCCAGCCAGGAGCACTGAAGTTGGAGGGAAGCTGAGAAACTCCGCACAGGGCTCTGCACGTGCCTGCCCAGGTGTAAAGTGACGGGCACAGAGGCACGAAGGTGTGCAGTCCACCACCTGCACGCCCAGCCACGGCGGCCCTGACTCCAGGTGGAGATGACTGCTCACGTCCTCCCCAAACCTCTGCGGCCGCTTATGATACAGCACCCCTCCCTCGGTTGTTGGTTATGGAGCAAAGAAACTGGAACTGACCCCCAGCCCCACTACGGAGGGGCCAGGCACGCAGACAGCCATGGCACAAAGGCTGGGAGGGGCCGGGTGCCGAGTGGTTTTCTAAATGTCAGAGCTCAGCCGGCTTCGTGTTCCTGGTCTCCAGGCATCTTAGCAACTGCTTGAATTGTGCCCTGGCGTCGAGCCTGCCCTCGGGGTGGGACAGTCTCTGTGGACACTCACAAGGGCCTTTTCTCTGCAGGCCAGCGACATCCTTGCGGGGCTGTGGCACGGCCCGGGAAGCCCCCGTCACGGCGCTGCTCCTCCCCGCTCCGCTGAGCAGAGGCAGCCAATGGGCGCAGCAGGCGGGGTTGGGGGGCCAGGGCACGCGGGAGCGACTAGAGAGTGCGTTTGTCCTGCTGCAGGGCCCCAGGCCAGGGCCCCCGCCTTCCTGGCACCCCAGCTGTCCTCAGGCGCTGATCTTTTGTCCGCGCTTGGCCCTGCTGTGCAGGCTCCCTTGGGCCAGTGGGAAAGCGGATCCCCAGCCTGCAGCCGCAAGCCAGGGATCACCGGCCAGGCAGAAGGGGGCTGGGAGCGGCTGCGCCTGGACGGGCTTCAAACCGACCGGCACGCGCCCTTCCAGGAGCCTGCACCACGGTGTTCCCGAGACGCCAGGGTTGTGTGGACAGGCCTTGGAGTCGAGGCAGTCACGGCCCCCGGGAACTGTGAGCCCTCCTGGCCTTGCAGTACGACAGGGCCATGCACAGCACCTGCACACAGTCGGTGCCCAATAATCACTTGTGCGTGAAGGCATCAGTTTCCACAGGGGCCGGACTGCACGCTCCCGGGCAGGCGTCACGGGGACAGGCGCCCGCAGCTACTTCCTCCGGATTCGCTACAGTTCTCTAATTAATTTTTCTAGTTTATAGTTAAGTCGGAATTTATGTCATGTGCAATAACAAATACATGCCGGCTATTTTTAACCTAGTTTAGTGGGTGAAACTGAGGCTTGCCTCTCACTGACCACATACTTCACGCGCACTACCTACATGAGGACGGAGAGGCGTGCGTGCGAACAGGACGGGCCGGCGGGGACCGGCAGCTCCCACGGGGCAGAGCTGCAGGCGGGCGCTGGGTGCTGAGGGCAGACCAGGAACTGCAGGGAGCCAGCAGAGCACACGCTGCAGGCCCGTCAGCCCGCCGGCCAGGGCGAGGACGAGCAGCCACAGACACGCCAGGCCCGTCGAGTCTCTGGGACCCCACGCAGGACCCTGCTGTGCGGGGCCGAGGGGCTCAGCCGGCTCTCACCTGACTGGCCCCGGCTGCGGCCCCCTCGGCCCACCGCCTTTCCCCGCAGCCCCGCTCCGGTCTCGCCAAAGCCCTCGCGCAGGGACGGAGGACACCAGGGGCGTGGACACTGCCGGCCTGCTGTGTCTGCCCTTCCTTCATCCACGGCCGTGGCAGGCGGGGTGGGCAGCAGTGGGGACTCCCTGTGGCCTGGAAATCCGTGACTGGCCACCAGGCCCCGGGCCTGGCCGGGGAACACGCACACACGGAGAACCGGAGTCAGCGGTGTGGAGCGTGGCCACAGGCAGGCAGCACAGGACAGTGCTCCACGACTGATCACACATGATTCCCAAACCTGAGTCTTCCTCTCCCTCACTCCGTGTGTCTCACTTTCAGCCCCGGCTGAGCGCAGGGTGAGCCCTCAGGGCCGCAGCCGCCTCACTGAGGATTCTCCCGACCCAGCCCAATGCCGCCCCTCCTGCCGGGCCGCCGGCATCTCCGGCGCGTGAGAATCCTTGCAGAGCCCAGTGTGTGCGGCGGGGGAGGTCTGCTTCTACTGCTTTTTGCTCTGCTCCAACCGGTCTTAGCATCTTGTTTCCAATTCCCACTCTGTGGCTCTGCTCTCGCTAAGACGCGAAGGCCCTGAGAAAAGTGCTTTTCCCTAACGAGGAAGAAACGTGGCCAGTCCACGGACTCTGGACTGCTCTTGAGCTCAGGCAGCAGCAAGGCCACGGAGCAGACTCAGCTCCAAAGAGGGGCCAGCCCCCACGGAGGGAGGGGCGCAAACCGGTCCCCTCCGGCAGCTCACAGGAGGGAGGGGCGCAAACCGGTCCCCTCCGGCCGGCAGCTCACAGGAGGGAGGGGCGCAAACCGGTCCCCTCCGGCCGGCAGCTCACAGGCCCAACAGCAGGGGAAGAACAGCCCGGACGTGGCCGACTTCTTACTGGTGAGTGTGGCAGTCAGAGTGAGCAGGGCTGGGAGCACAAGGGACGGAAACCCAGGTCCCACCCTAACTCAGGCACCGTCCTGCCCAAGCCCCTGCCCAGAGACAGGTGGCGTTTGGCGGCAGGGGCGGGCGCGGGCCTGTGCCGGGGTGCGGCAGCGCCGTCCTGAGGGGTGGGGCGGGCACTGCACGCCAGGCGGGACCTCGGGACCCACTGGCACCCACACCGCGCACAGCTGGCCGCAGCCACTGCTGGAGGACGGAAAGCCCGTGGCGTAGGGAGAGCAGCCCCACGCCTACAGCCCGCCCATCGGGGGACGCGCCGGGGCCCACAGAAAGGAGTGTCCGGTTCAGGCGCGAGGACCACCTGCCTGGGTCTGTGCTGTCTGCAGAAAGAACAACCAGCATCCGGCACAAAATTACGAGAGACATAACAAAGAAAAAGCCGCCCACTGCCTAGAAACACAGCTGCCAACAGGACAGGACCCGACAATGACCCCGGCCTCACATTTCTGGTGGCCAACTGCTGCCGTCACCCAGGCCCCAGGCGTAGGGACCCGCCACACTACACAGGCTCGCGCTGCCATACCATGCTTCAGCCAACGATGAAAATCTCGATCTGCCAGTACTGTCGTAGCTGCAGTGACTCTGCACAGTAGCTCATCGCTCACGGCTTGTGGTGCTGCCAGTTGTGTACATAAAAGTGCGAAATCCCAGGCTCGCACACTCGCTCACACTCACCCGCAGACTCACCTGCAGCAACTTCCAGTCCTGCAGACTATAACCTATGGCAAGTGCCCTGCACCTGTGCACCATTTTTCATCTTTTTTTTTTTTTTTTTTTTGAGACAGAGTCTCCCTCTGTTGCCCGGGCTAGAGTGCCGTGGTGTCAGCCTAGCTCACAGCAGCCTCAAACTCCTGGGCTCAAGCAATCCTCCTGCCTCAGCCTCCCGAGTAGCTGGGACTACAGGCATGTGCTAATTTTTTCTATATAGTTTTAGTTGGCCAATTAATTTTTTTCTATTTTTTAGTAGAGACAGGGCCTTGCTCTTGCTCAGGCTGGTTTCAAACTCCTGACCTTGAGCGATCCACCCGCCTCGGCTCCCCATAGTGCTAAGATTACAGGCGTGAGCCACCGCGCCTGGCCTAAATATATTTCTTATTTTCAGGATTTGCTAGACCATTATTCATTTCCTCACCTCTTTTTAGGTAGGATCTTATTAGTTATAACCATGATTTTAGAGCCAGAATAAACCTTATAAGCCAAATCGTTCCTGTCCACAAATGAAGCCTTGAAGCCTGGAGAGGTCAGGTCTGGCCCGAGGTCCTCGTGGACAACATTCATGTCCACCCTTCACCTCTGACCTAAAGCAGTGGAGAAACAAGACAGTGCCTTCATTTTCTGGAAATCAGTCAAAACATTTCTTTAAGCAATGTGCTCTTAGCTGTCACTCCTAATCACCAACAGGATTCACAATTTTGGATGTACTTTTAAAAAATACTTGAGTCTGCTGACGTACTCCAGCCTCAAAGCAGAAACAGTTGTTAGGAGTGACAGCAGTCTGGACACCAAGGGTCACACGCCCTCCGCCGTGACGACACGCCTCTTACACACGAGTGGAACCGCACTGTCAGGAGATTCGGCAGTGTGATCAAACCGTGGGAGGCAGCACACCACCGTACCGACGAACCGCTTCCTTCCCACTACTGTCAGAATGATGAGATTTACGGAAGACTGCAATGAAAAACAAAGAAACCTATTTCATTTTCTTTCCTGGAAAACCAATGAAGGCAGCAACTTAAGAAAAGACTCGAAAATGCAAACGGGTCTGGCTGTCCCGTGCAGTGTGATCCTGCCCACTCTTCAGGCGTGCGGGGGCACCTGCCGTGTCAGCGCAAGGCATGCAGACAGCCTCAAGGTCGCACTCACGGCGGGAAAGCGGCTTTTAGTGACACGGGCTTTATAAAATAAAACATCCATAAAGCATGTTTCTATTTTTAATTTTTTTGCTTTGATAAATCAATTGCTTCACAAAAATCCTTTTTAAAGACAACAATCCAAGAAAACATATTGTTACAGTATTCACATTTTAAAGATTGTCAGTTTCAAAGACCGAAAATAACTAGAACAAAGGAAGATTGCGGAGTTGTTTCTGTCACTAACTGCCAGGCTGGGCCTTCCCGGCGGGCCGAGGCCGCGGGCGCCGCCGCGCGGGTCCGGAAGGAGACAGTGCTCCTCGCCTCCTGCACAGCTGGGAGGCGACCGCACAACAGGTCGCACGGAACGGTTCCCGGAATCCTTTGTGGTCAGGGCTCTCTGCACACTGGATAAACACTTCGACTTATTTTACTATCTGGAACTGAAATGTGGGAAACTGAGCCGGGCCGACGCCCGGAGCCTGCTGGGGCGCGGCACTGCCGGCCCAGCTATCTGCTCGACAGCCGCACGGGGGGAGTGACAACAACATGCTCGATTTGGGTCTCAAGACACGTTCAAAAGGGTCCTTCATAAGGAAGAATTTAACAAGAACAAAGTTGGGATAGAATCCGATAATTTAAAATCTTACAGGGGACCTCCTCTCACAGACTCCTCGCCGTCCAAGGTGGGAAGACAGGCGCCCGAGTGGTGCACGCTGGCACAGACGTGCATGGGGCGGCTGTTTCAGAAACTGCAATGGCTTGTGTGTACAAGCTGTTTAAAAGCATCTTAGTTATTCATGGAGAAAGAAAGGTTAAAGGGTGCACAAGCGCCCTCTCTCTAAATCTCTATCCTATTCATCTGAATTTAATAAGAAATAGAAACAGGTTTCTGCTGAAGAGAATCGCAACATGCCATTCAGCATGGAGTTCCACTCTGGCCAGAGCATCCCAATGCCACCAGGTCCCCAGGCAGACGCTGTCTCACCATGTCGCCCAGGCTGGAGCGCAGTGGCAGCTCCCAGGTGCAATCACAGCTCGCTGCAGCCTCGAACTCCTGGGCTCAAGCGATCTTCCTGCCTTAGCCTGCCAAGTCGCTGGGACTACAGGCGCACGCCACTGCACCTGGCCTGGGCAGCACGCGTGAATACCGTCTGCTGCTCCAGCAAATGTGATTTCTCCCAGGTGAAGAAATAGTGACCAATCCACAAGTCCACGTTCTGTGAATGTCTCCACTAATCTACACTGCAGAGCAGCAGCCAAAGAGACAGGCGTGAGGGAGGAAGGAGGAAGGAGGAAGGCTGGCTGGCTTTCACACGTGCTCACTTTAAGTCCAAGAAAGCTGGGACTTAAGTAAAGCTAAAATGATGTTTTAGACTTGTATAGACCTGACTTAAAATAGTAAAAACTGTTTATAAATAAGGAATGCAATGGCTGCTTAAAAATGTTATTCTCTCCCCAAAAGAGTTAATCAAGTTTTTCTTTTAGTTATAGATCTTGAAACATTTTTAAAGAAATTTCTATGTATATTTTGCTCACTTCAAAATTACCTAGGAAGTATTCCCTTATGATTAATACATTTTTGGGGAAAAATCAGTTACAGAAAAGAATTTGCACTGGCTGAAAATGTCTCTCAACACAACCCTGGTTTATAACCAATCATTGTTGCTGAATCTCAGAACTGTTGATTTTCCCAACCAACCCTATAACTGTCCTTTACTAACAAATGGAACCTCAGCATCCCGTTTAAGATGATATAAAGGGATTCCATTTGAAACAAGGTGCATGTTTTCTGCCTGAGAAATCCCCACTCCTAAGTAAACAAATCGAAACCAAAGAAAACAAAACCCAGCCTACTCTCTCAATTCATCTTGTTACCAGAAAACAGAAGTCCTAAAAAATCATTCCAAGTCTTGTACTAGAAAATGGAAGTGCAAAAGTTATTTCAAATCTCATGTGATCAGTGAGAAAGGGAAGGCTGTGGAAATTCTGAAACAACGTATAAAAAAATAATGACACCAGGAGACCAATTGCAAATGTGTGTGAACCAACCAGGTGGGAAGTCTGCTGTCATGCCACTGTCACAGTTCATCACTGCAACCTCATGCATGTCTGCTAACTATGGAACAAAGTTTGAATGTTTGCTACTTACCCCAGCTCTGAGCCGACGGGGTAGAGCACATTTTGTATTAGTTTATGATAAACATTCTATGCATGACGTACTTCGAATAAAAAAATCCTAAAATGATACACAGATACCATGGTAAAACAACCATGTAATTGTAGTCAAATTCAGATTAGACTGGAATATGTATGGGGAGAGCTCCTAGCTAATTACCGGCTACCATTCCATCTCACCTGAAGACGTGTTTAGCAACTACCTTCAGATATATGTTTAGATCAGGTGTAAAATGCAATCTGAGTGTCACATATAAACAAAAATTTGGAGATATCAGAATTTCATTGAATAGTGTTTTGTTTTATAGTAGTAAGTGTGAATTGGTGCCCTGCGAGAGCAGAGGACCACGGAATGGGGGCTGGCTTTGGGCAGGTTCACTAAATTTGGTCAATTCAGAACATTCCAAATTGAAACAGCAAGCATGTATTGTTTCTTCTCTAGAAATTTCATCCTCAATATAGTCATAATCCAATTCATAATGAATTTATAAAAATAGCTTTTTATCCAATAATTCCAGCAAGGTAAAAATAGGAGTTTCTTTTGATATATAGCAAACGAAACAGGCTCACTGGGTATGCGAGAACTGAGCTTGTTTACACTGCCATCCACTCGCTATGAATCACACTCAGGCTACACGGGGGCTGTCGCCGCCTCACACTGGCAGTTTCGGGTGCAGAAGCTTCTTTCAAATCCACGGGCCACGCAAGTAACCAGCCCGCCGAGATGTGCCGTAAACCACGGAACTAAATTAAAACTGCATAATTTCTTAGAAAATGGCAGCACTATTCCTTAATCTAACCAGGGGAGGGGTATGTCATTCGTCACATTTCTAGAGTTAAACCTGCAAAGAATCTCTTTAAAAACCCGCGCACACTCACTCGCACTCACACACGCACACTTGAAAGAAGTCGCTGCTCCGGCAAAGACGCGCTTGAAGCTTACTATGAAATACAAAAGTGCACTCTTCTATATCTACATATAAAACATATTAGAAATAAAACTGTGTAAAATGTTTGCTGTGCAAACTATAAAAAGTCAGGTGAGTCCGCGCCGCCCTACTGCAGCGAGTCGCTGTTCTCCAGGACCAGCCCGCCGATGTGGGCGGGGGCCAGCGCGGCCCCGTCGTCCTCCGCGCTGTCCACAGACTCGTCCTCGCTCTGCCCCGCCATCATGACCTGCTGCACCGCCAGGGTGGCCCCGTCCGAGGACAGAGACTGCAGGCTGTCCACGTTCATGTTCACGGGCGTGGTGATGGTTACGACGGCTCCTGCAAGGGACACAGGCGTGTCACTACTGAAATGAGCACTTGCAGAGAAAAGCAGCAGTGCTTCATCACTCGACTGGGTACCGTGTGCTTGCCTGACCTGAAATGGAAAGACCTCTATATGTTTATGGAACACTCGACAGGGATTTAAGAAAGCGTCTCTGGACTCGGCCTCGGGCCGTGCTCGGCTGACACGGCGTTGGCCTAAGGACGGCCTGGTGGAGCTCGGGACTGGGAGGCACGCAGGTCCCGAGGCAGGGAGCGCTGCAGGGAGAAGAGAGGAAGCCAAACCACAGGGCAAGGATGTACGAGAGGAATATGAACAGGGAACAAAAAGGATAGTAAGGTAGAGTAAGATCAGTTTGAAAGAGAAAAAAAGCAAACCTGTAACACGCAGATCCCTGTCGCACAGCCCAATAGCAAAGGAGGGAAACGGCCGTGGGCCACAGCGGGCCCACGTTGAGACGCGGACCCAGGCCGCCGTGCTGCGGTTAAACACCACACAGCCGGTCCGACAGGCCAAGTCGCAAACATCTCCAAAACGTGTTAGTGAGAGATGAAAGCAGGTGGCCACAGTGTTACATGCTAACGCTTGGCTGAGGGTTTGGGAGACACATTCACGCATGCGTGTCATCCACGCGCTGGGCTCGTGCAGGAAGCTGGTAACGACGATCGCTCTGGAGAAGACCAGACGCCAGGAGAAAGACAGAGTGATGCCTTTCTAACCAGTTCTTGGATTAAAAGAGAAAAAAACCTGAATATAAATTCTTTAAATATGACGTGGGACTACTTCCCACCAAAACCTAAATGAAGAAAGCAGAGCAGCACTTGGAAAACTTCACTTTAAATGCATACGGTAAACTCAGGAGAGGCCAAATGGGAACAACGCAGGTGTGATCACGGCCCCACCTAGCCGCAAGACCAGCACCCCCACGCCAAGTCCCCCGCATCCGAGGAGAACCATCAGCACAGGTGTGCAAGAGACCACCTGAGGCCGGGGAGGAACCATCTGGAAGGATGACGAGCACGGCGTGCAGCGCTCACAGAGCCGGCCTGGGAAGCTCCTCACCCCAGGCTCAGGAACTCAAGGAGGCCTGGCCTCAAGCGTGGGGGTACAGCCCTTGCCGAGCTCTGCTGTGGGCCACCAGACACCGCTCCCAAGTGACCTCACTGTACCCCAGAGCAACGCTCAGGAAGACATACAAGAACACAAACACAGCCTGCACCCAACAAGGCAAATTCACAGTGCTGAGCATCCTTTCGGGTTTACAGGCGTACAAACAGGCAGGAAAGCGCATAATGGGGAGGAAACCAAGCTGGTCCAGGACTGAGAGATGCTGGAATTAGCAGAGAAGGACAGCAAAACCGTTACTGACTGTATTCTGTTTTGAAACCTTAAGTAGATTCATGAATGATGTAAAAGACTCAAATAGAACCTCTGGAGAGATGAAAATGACAATGTCTAAGATGAAAACCATGCCGGATAGGATGGACTCAAGATTAAACAGTACAGAATAGAAGACTGGTGAAGCGGAAGGAGAGTAACAGAAGCCATCCAAAATGAAACACAAACAATCTAACAAACTGAAAAGAGCCTCAGTAACGTGAAACTTTAACCACCTGCTACGCACAGGCAACTCAAGTTCCTGAAAGGAGCAGGGGTCAGAAAACAGTTGATAAAACCATGGCCCCAACCCCCCCAACTTAATAGCCGTGTATTACTGCATGAGGAACAGTGGGAAGCAGAATGCGCTGACACCACCATTGACACACACGGTTTGGATTGGAAAAACAATCCAAACCACGAAGAACTCCTGCGAACAGACAGGTGCTCGTGAAACACAACAGACTGGGAGGAAGGGACAAGGTCCCGGGCAGCAAACGAAAACAGGAGAAGGGCGTGGGACTAAGAAGGGTAAGAAGTCACGTGGTAAGGACGGGGACCTCCCATCCCCTGCACCCAGAGGCGGAGGGAACAGAAAGCAAACACGGAGCGAAGGACGGGACACGCTGTCGAGGACTGTCTCTGACACGGCCGGTGAGCACAGATCCGGACTGTGCTGTGAGTTCTCTGCTGCCCACGCCTGCCCCCGCGGGGTCCCTCCCACACGCGTGCAGGACGGCTCGGCCGTTTCAGGTGCAGACACAGAACCCGTGTGTCTTGCTTGCAGCGTTTGCTAAAGCCCGCAGCTGGCCATGCCCAATCCCAGCTCCCGCGTCCCCCCCACCCGCCGCGTCCGGCTGGGGCCACCCGTACCTTCCGTCATGGCGAGCTCGCTGGGCGGTGGCTGGGCGACGCCCGAGGCGATGGAGTCGGGCCAGAACCTCTGCACCGGCCTGTTCTGAGCAGTCTTTTTCTTTGCTTTGGGGGTCTCTGAGCAACTGGAATCCAGCATCGGCTGCAGGATCCGTCTTCTGGCGTTGATGAACCTGGGAGCCAACGGGGCCTCCGTCAGGGCAGGCTGCGGGCCGAGGGAGCCACGCTCCAGCGACGCGCGCCTTGCCAGCGGGCTATGGAGAACACCCACACTCTCCCTGTGACCCGTGCTTAAGAGGAATCAAAGTCATTCTCAGTTACCTAAATTATCGCCTTAGAGTCCAGATAAACAGGGCCTGCTATTTTAAAAGTCATTCATTTAAATAAGGACCAACTCTTCCATGGCATCTTTTTCTTAGCCTCAACTGATTTGTTCCATGTCTGTGAATTAGACATTCATAATGACACTGATGATGCTGTTTTGTGAATTTGACATTATTTTCTCTAAGGAAAATAAATGTTAAAGTATCGAGACGTTATGATTCCTGTGGTCTCGCTGTGCGCGAGGCTGTCTGGACAGGCAGCTCGGCCGCCCCGGCTGTGACCAAGGCCTGCGTTTCAGGAAACGTGAGTGACGCCAGCCACAGGCAGGGATCTGAGGCAGGGCCTCCCCCTTGCACAGGCTGCTCCAGACCACGCGCTCTCTCCCAGACGCCCACAGCCGTGGCCACCCGGAGGTCACCACACATGGGGCTGGCAGTGCCAACGTGCTGGCAGCGCTGAAATCCCTGACAGACGTCAGCTGCTCCGTGACACTGAGAGCTCATGCTGGTGACACGACCCCACACAGAAAGAGACCAGCAGAAATACAGACTGGCGAGGCAGGCTCGGCCAGTGAATATGGCAGCAACCTTGAAAAACATTAAAAGACTGGTCTTCAGTCTCCATCCCTCTGGGTGCCCCGAGCTGTGCCTTCCAACGCGAGGAGTGTGGGAGGGTGCTGGTGCAAGCAGGAGACTGAAATCCCCAAACGGGCTCTTCCTCCTGCGGTCAGGGCCGTGTGCGGCAGGGGACGGCCTGGCCGGACCTGGCACTCCTGCCGCACTGCCATTCATACTCCCTGGGGCCACCTTGCTACAGTGATGGAAGGAAAAACAACAGCGGCCCCATAAACGTGCTCATCAAACTAGAACCTGTCCCGATTCCTGCCCATTCCTACCCTAACACAGGAACGGCCATGCCAACCAAGCTTAAGGACTCATCTCTGTCTTCTTTTTTCAGGAGTAAGACTGACAAGATGGTCCCCACTTGGGAGAGTCACACACGCTAATCTATTAAAAGCTACACCTCTGTGGACAACCGTGGAGTCCTGTTCATGGCATCACAGAAATAAAAGCATCGCTTTTAGACTCAGACTCCAGTCCGCTTTGTCACTGTGTGACAACTTCTCTTTTAATGCCCCCACCTGCAAAACAACAGGACTAGAACTGGATCGGCTCTAAGGTTGCTTCATTTTAAAATTATAAAGATTAAAAAAATATCTAGAATTACACGAGGACACATTCTAGTATTAACAAACGATAGTGACTTGCTGGTCCCGCAGTACAAGCGTGACCAGGAAAGCAGACTCGGGAGTAAAGGCCGGTGGCCCCGCAGCTGCCCATGACGCTGCCCCGCAGGGCAGGGCCTTGGCGGCCGGTCCTCACATGCTGCTCGAACCCTCCTGCTCTAACGCTCCTGCTACTACTAGGCAGCGGCACAGGCTAACGACTCGCAGGTGTGTCGATCTCACCACTCTGAGATGTAATCGTAAATATAAAAGGAAAGAAAGTCACACAAGGTAAAAGTAGTTATAGATATTAAAAGATTTTAGAAATCTAGAATTTAAAAAAGTAATGTTATTAAACTGTTATTAATTCTAAAATTTAAAAGCTGATACCTAACCTGGTTAAACTGTTAACGTAACAGAGTGGCACGTTGGGAACAAGGAAATCATGAAGAACAGAAGGTGACTGCAGCACCTGGATATCCACCCCCATTCAACCCAACGATCACTCAACCAAATGTGACGTTTCTACATAAGACCACATGGAGAGAACCCTACACACACTCGGTATGCTTCAAATATCACAGCAACTATCTACTTGAACCTTTAAATTCTTGTTAACACTATTAAAAAGATTGAACAGGAAATAACTCAAATAGCATGGTCTGTTATTGCTACCCAAATCTAAAATAACAGCCTGAAGGCAAGATAATAAAAACATTTAGTGCAATACCAAAATATACCTCCTGCATGTGTAATTGCATAAATAGGAAGATTTTATTGTTTATATTGGAACTTCAATAAGCTTACATTTTAGCCTCATTAAAATAAAAAGGCCGGACGGGTGGCTCTCGCCTGCAATCCTAGCACTCTGGGAGGCCAACGCAGGCAGATTGCTCGAGGTCAGGAGTTCAAAACCAGCCTGAGCAAGAGCGAGACCCCGTCTCTACTATAAATAGAAAGAAATTAATTGGCCAACTAATATATATAGAAAATTAGCCGGGCATGGTGGCGCATGCCTGTAGTCCCAGCTACTCGGGAGGCTGAGGCAGGAGGATCGCTTGAGCCCAGGAGTTTGAGGTTGCTGTGAGCTAGGCTGATGCCACAGCACCTCACTCTAGCCTGGGCAACAAAGTGAGACTCTGCCTCAAAAAAAATAAAATAAAATAAAAATAAAATAATAAAAATAAAAATATAATGTTTACAAGTGGCAGAATTTGTGCTTTCTTTTATGCATGCCAATTTTATTAAGCTGAAATTCCTTCCTATATCTGAGCAACAAGTAAATAAAAATGAGGTGACTAATGATCACAACGGAGCCCACCCCAAACCCCAGCACCACTCAGGAACGTGCATTACGTAATTATTTAAGGGAGAACACAGGGTCCAAGTGTCACTGCAAGGTGTGGCAGCAGACCTCTAAGAGGAGGCTTTTATCGATAAGTGCCAGCGACCCTCCAGGCGCCCCCGTGGCGCAGGTTTCCAAGGCAGGAGAGCGGCATAAGTTCCCCAGAGGTCAAGACCCCTGGCTGCCAGCGCCCACCGACGAGGCCCAGGCTTGTGCGGACGCGGGACCCGGGCAGTACCTCCCCGAGGAAACTGCAGCCAGGCGAGCAGGACACGGGAAGGGGTCCATGATCACGCCGTGATAATGAAAACTCAGGCTGAGAGTGAGCGCTGGTTTGCTCTTAAGTACCCCGCCTCCCATGCCAGCACCCTGACAACAGAGTACTGCCTGCTACGAGCACTCGCATTTTCAACGCCACTGTACCATGTGTCAGTGCCAGGGTTCCCAGCACCCCACTGTGTGACAGGCCCGTCTCAGTCGCCTTACCAGTTGTTGACTTGGAGCAGGGTCAGATTCGTTTGAGCGGCGATCTGTTTTTTCTCATCCTCTGTTGGGTAGGGATGCTGAAAACAAAAAGGAGGGTTACCATGACCTTTGACTGTTATACAGGACATCAAGATTATCCAGGCAAAATACGAGGATCAAATAACCATCACTAAAAACCTGTGACAGCGATAGGCTTCCAGCCAAAACCTACCTCTCGGCCCACAGACGTAGCCACCAAAGAATGTGCTGCGGCAGTGGGTCAGCACACACGCCAAGGCGTGACCGGCCACAGCATCTGAGGTTCAAAGGTGACAGTAACCACAGCCACGGACAGCACCGGGAGCGGCCGCCCAGCGACGATGGCTTCTCCGTGCCAGGCGCTGAAAGGCGGAACCCTCCTGGGCTGGCCGGAGGGGCCAGCGAGAGGCTGCAGGGCGGCGTCCAGCCCGCCCCAGCCAATCTCTCCCTCCTGGGAGCCCACCTGCCGCTGTGCCTGTGTGCACTCCCCGCCGAGAGCCACGCCTGGCTGCTCCAGACTGGCTGCCGGCCTGGGGGGTGTCCCTCCGAAAGCTGCCCTGGGTCAGCAGGCTGGCAGCAGCCACGTCACACAGGGTGAGGAGCATGTCCTTCCCGTCAACTTGGCAGGCATGTCCCTTTGCTGTGCCTCCTGAGGCCTCCTGGGACAGGGAGAACCTGCGGCTATGACCCAGGGAGGAAGGGCAGCGAACGCACACCCAGAACACACCGGGCAGACTCGGGCCATGTCAGACACGCCCACCGCTGACCCTCGTGGACATGCTCAACACCACGTCTGCATGTGTAACCTTGCCGTGTCCTTTCAAATCCAACATACAAAAACACAGCAACTCTCCCAGGTTTTGCCCAAACCCATCTTCCGTCTGCCCCTTCTCCAGCTAACCTCACCCCGCCCCAGTCGCCTTCGGTGGGCAGGGCCCGCCTCCCGCACGCGCAGTTTACGCGGCCGCGTGCTCTCCCTTTCACCACAGCCCCTCGCTGCGCTGTGAGTCTTGAAGCAAAGGCCTCCATCCGTTGGCTGCCTCCCCTTCTGCCCCACGCTCCCCCGTCATGGACACTCCACAAAGCACGGATGCTGAAGGTCAGCCCCACCAGCCTACGAGAGCGACGTTTCCCACGACACGCAAGCCAGGAAGCAGGCCCCGGGCCCGCCGAGCGCACGCCGCGCCCTTACCCCTATGTGCTGGAAGAGCCACGACCGCATCACGTTGGTGGCGTGCTTCGGCAGAACTCCCCGCTTGTTCTTCGATGAGCCGTCATCTTGATGCAAGATGCTTAGATCTTGGTTTAACTGCAACTGAAGCTTTTAAACAATTGAGAAATCACGTTAGAAAGCACAAAAAAGACATACCCAGGTAGCTTCCGACCTCAGGTGGAGACAGTGACCTCGCTCTTCCAGACAGGTGACTTATGTACAGCAAGGGCCAATACCCGGGCCCTGCACACACTGACCCCGTGCGGGTCTGGCTCCTCCGCACGCAGCTCTTCACGCCAGCGACGGTCTGCACGGGCCCCGCACCTGGCACGGCTCTCAGAAGGCCGCTCTGCGGGCAGGTGAAGCCTGTGTCCTCTAGCCACCACCCGGTCCCACCCGTGCCTCCTGTGGTGAGGGGGAACATCAATTTCCTCGGCTAACAGAGACTTCCAGCAGCTGGTGGCAATGGACAGAGACGCCAGGAAGCTGCGCCCAGAGAGCAAGTTGTGCCAGGCGAGCGGGGGGACTGACGCACAGAGCACCAGAGGCCGATGGAGGGACCCGGAGCAGGAGGGTGACGCCCGTCCCCTGAGACACGGCGGCAGGCACTGAGGGAGGGCAAATGACACCCTTTCAATTCTATTTGAAAGAAAAGCACCAGTCTGGCCCTTCTTTGGTGAGTGTCTTATCAGAAAAGCATTAAGAAAAAATCTGTTCACAAGGCCATGCTTCGGGGCCCCAGCACGTCCCCCAATCGCAGCACCTCCGTCCCCGGCACGTGCAGAGACGACGTCATCGCTGCCCACCGCACAGAGCAAGGAAGGAAGGAAGCAAACCGTCCTGCAGGGCCACGGCACGGACACATCAGGCCGACATGAGAGCTCACATATGAACCGACCTAATAAATAAGTGACATCTAATTCTACAGGTCAATTTCAGTATACTGTATTCATAAATATGGTTTAAAGGATTTAGAAGTTTATTTTGGAGAAATTTTTACTATATTATTTTACCTTTACTTCCTCTGGATTTATACCTTTTTGGATATATTCTTCAAAAATCTGAAAACCAACATCTACAGAAACAGCTGACAGGGACTGAATTTTATGACCTTAAAGGACATACTAATATCGTACATCTTAAAACGCAAGATTATTACTAAGGGAGTAATTATTTCATGAATGTGTGTGTTTAAGGACTGAGAGCAAATCGTATTAAGAACTGCCTATAGCTCAAATTTGTGCATACAGGAAAAGGAATGGAAGTGAACTTTTAAAACGAGTTCCAAAGCATCAGGGCCAAACTTGAGTTTGTCTGCTGCGTCTGTCTCAGTCGAATCCACGATGGTGATCTTAATGAAACGAGACATGTGCTTCAGCGTTGACTTTTCCGGTTCGAGGCTAGAGCAAGCCTGGGCTCCTGGACAGGCACTGCGACACTCGACTTCCGAAGTGCTGCCCACGGGGTCCCGGGGCGAGGACTAATTCGAGAGAAGGAAGCTGGCTGAGGGCCGAGAGAGGACGGTCTGTTCGCCCCGCTCAGCTCCAGAGAAGCCCAGGCACTGGACACGGCCGGGCGTGGAGGCCGGGCCTGGCTGGAGTCTAAGCAGCAGCGAGGGCAGCTCACTTCTCCATGGGCCCACAAGGACGCGTGGGGGTTGGCGCGCCCGTCGAGGACAGTGGCTGCCACGGGGCAGCAGCTCTGGGCTGCAGCTCTCTGCAAGTTTGCTGTGGCTATACCAGGAAAGAAGGCATGTGCAGATTTCCATGGAAATTATGATTCTATGAAAGATTTTGAGGAGGTGAGGAAGGCTGGTATCTTCCAGAGTGCAAAGTGATTTTGGAATATAAAGAATTTCTTTGGGCTGATTTACATAGAAGTTTGTCACTGACCCGTGCTCCTGAGCTGTATGTGGGCTGAGCAATAATTTCTCTTGATTATTAAACTTAATTAACAAATACTAAAAAAACAAAACAAAACAGAACAAAACAAAACAAAACAAAAGCAATGAGGGCAGTCCTGGCAACCCATGCCTGTAACCCCAGCACTGTGGGAGGCCAAGGCAGGGGGATCACTTGAGCCCAGGAATTCAAGACCAGCCTGGGCAACACAGTGAGACCTCATCCCTAAAAAAAAAAAAAAAAAGAGAGAGAGACAGGGACAGGAAGGTCTGCACACAAAACGGGAGCCCCGCCTACTGCCGCTCTGGGCAGGGATGGGGAGGCCTTCTCTGGAGAGACTGAGCGAGATGAGACTGCCGGCAGTTGAATCTGGGGGTCAGTCAGGGAAAAGCCGCTGGCCTCAGCCCAGCACCTGAGAAGCACCAAAGAACTTTCTGGGGGCTCGTGTCTAAATTTAAAAAGACAGCCAGGTATCCCCAAACACTTGAAAGCCTCTGCCACAACAAGCAGAGGCCACAGTGAATGAGCTCTGGGTGCAGGGGAAACGGAGAGCATGCAGGAACCAGAAGAAAGTCTCTGCTGCCCATGAACCTAGAGGTGGATGCTATTAAAAAGAAAGAAAAACATATAGAAAGCAAGGCAAAGCTCTTAGAAATTAAAAATACACTAGAAGGTTAAAACTCAATAGATGGGCTGGAAAGGAAAACACAATCTTTCAGAAAATAGGAGAAAAGTGACAGTTGGAAGAAAAAATATATTTAAAAAATCAAGCGAGTCGGTTCAGGAGGTCTAACGTTCAGTGCGTAAGAGCCTGAGAAAGGCAGAACGTGCGTGCGGGCTGGGGCAACACCGCCCAGAAAACTGCAGGGACGCACCGCAACTGCGGACTCTGGGATTAAAGGACACGGAGGGCCAGCCCAGCCCGCGAGGAGACCCCGCCAAAACACTCAGAGCACCGACGGGAAGAGGGAAGCGTCCCAAAAAGGAGAGAAACGCAAGCGGTGAGAAGAAAGGGTAACAGCCTTCTCAAAAGCAGCGCTGGCCACTGAAGACGAGGAAGCGACGCCCTCCCTACACCCACCGCGTGGGGAGCATTTTCAACCTGGAACTCCAGGCTTAAACAGACTCATCTCAAATACGAGACCAAATAAAGTCATTTGAGGATTTGCAAATATTTCTCGTGCACATTTTCTAAGGAAGTTTTGAGGGAGGGAATAAAAAGACGTGAGGGGACCCTCAAGGTGACACCCAGGCAAAGCTCCACCCACGCCGCCGGGCACAGTGCCGTGTCAGAGCTGCAGGGAGGACAGCCCAGCGCCGGTGCGTCCCCAGCTGCCGGGCCCACGGAAAGCTGCTGAGAGGCTGCTGGCGAGGCCGTGACGATCTGGCCACTGATACAACAGCTCAGCAAACGGACAAACACAAGACGACGACTAACTTGGGCAAAGAAGCCATTTGAACCAGAGCACCGCCACAGTCAGGGCAGGCGCTGGCTGGGCGGTGACACGTGTGGACTTGGAGGCGCATCCCCCTCCCCTCCACGACCAAACGCCAGAACAAGGGCCGAGTTAGGAGATGAGATTTTTCACTTGGAAACGAAAAGTGGGTAACAGATTTGTCTGGGCCTGGGAGGTGGACAGCTGTCAAGATCCGTTCTGAGCTCTTCGGCATCTCTGATGGCGGAAGCTACGACACATGGTAGCTGGATAAAAACATTAAAAATAACCACAGGCCGGGCGCGGGGGCTCACACCTGTAATCCTAGCACTCTGGGAGGCCGAGGCGGGAGGATCGCTCAAGGTCAGGAGTTTGAAAGCAGCCTGAGCAAGAGCGAGACCCCATCTCTACTATAAACAGAAAGAAATTAATGGGCCAACTAAAAATACATAGAAAAAATTAACCAGGCATGGTGGCGTATGCCTGTAGTCCCAGCTACTCGGGAGGCTGAGGCAGGAGGATCGCTTGAGCCCAGGAGTTTGAGGTTGCTGTGAGCTAGGCTGACACCACAAGCACTCTAGCCTGGGCAACAGTGAGGCTCTGTCTCAAAAAATAAAAAGTAACCATAAAGAGGAAACAGCCAAAAAACTAAAATGCATGAGTAATAGCTATACAAAGACTCTGCCTGGGAAGGGTGGGTGGGGGAGAGGGAACCAACGAAACCTCACCCCCTTGTTATTTCTCATGTTCTCAAAAACGGTTTTTACTGGGTTTGCACTAGAAGTATCACTGAAGACTTTCAGCGGGACAGCCTGGGAGATCCGCCCACCGACAGCCCGGCAGTGCGCAGGCCAGAGCGGCAGCAGGGTCCCTCCTGGCAGGCAGCTCCGCTGCACTCGAGTCACCCAGAAGCAGGGCTACTGCGAGAGCCAGACACGCTGCCAGCAGGGGACCCGGGAGACAGAACGGGCACTGCCGTGGGAAGAGGGTTTCCGGGTTATTACGACTGCCACCCACACAGCCGCCGTTCTGTGACCTCCGCTGCGACTACCGACGAGATTCACCCGTGAATAACGCTGGCCGTCAAACAGCAACGTGGGAGGAACAAAGACCGTCACCAATTTTTTGACAAGACCAACTCTGATAGTTTCTGACACAAAACGCAGAAACCCTCATCGGTGAGCTACCCACCTTACTTACCTGAAACACAGCAAGAACCCAAACTCTGGCTAAAAAAGAAAAAAAAAAGAGCCCAGAGTAGCCCAAGTAGCTACAAGTAGAACTGCAGGTATCATGTGTGGGTTTATCCAAAGAACACCTCCCTCCAGACCCTCGACCGAATCCACTTGCTTCCGCTATTCAGACACGCGTCGGCTCGGTTTGCCTTCCTGGCAAGAAACATAAACTCCGAGGGGCAGCCAGGGGCGGTGGTGCCTGTGGTCCCAGCTACTGGGGGCGGGGGCGAAGGCGGGGGGACCGCTTGAGCCCGGGGTTGGAGGTGTAGTGTGCCATGATCACACCCATGAATGGCCACTGTACTCCAGCCTGGGTGACACAGCAAGACCCCCCCCCTGAAAAACAAACAGAAAAAAAAACAAACATGGGGGGATGCAACGCGCAGGAAAGAAGCCAGACAGTGACCTGCTGGCCCCGTACAGACCAAAGCAGAGGCAGCTCCCAGGCGGCGACCAGGGCGTTACGTTCACTGGAGTCCAGCTATGGGGGCTGGAGGGAGTCACACCACGACCTCAGGTGAGAAAGTGTTCAGCTGAAAAAACTCAAACCCCGTAGGCTTGCAATTTAATTCAGTTAATCGGAAAACTTCTTTTTTGTTTTTTGATCCACTGTCTCACTCTGTCGCCCAGGCTCACTGCAGCCTTGAACTCTTGGGCTCAATCTATTCTCCCACCTCAGCCTCCCAAGTAGCTGGGATTATAGTCATAAGCCACCACACCTGGCTAATTAAAAAAAAAATTTTTGTTTAGAGACAGGGTCTCACTATATTGCCCAGGCTGGCCTTAAACTCCTGGGCTCAAGTAACCCCCTGACATCGGCCTCCCAGAGTGCCGGGATTACAGGCGTGAGCCACCGCGCCCAGCAAAACTTCCTTCTTAACAGGACAAATCGACCTCTACTCAGTCAGGCATCTGACTGTAAAATGTTTCCTCTGAAAGAGCATATTTGAGACGAGAAAACCACACACCAGACACTGATTTATTTTCACAGGCCTTTTAAACGGACAGGCAGGCGGGTCCCGGAACCCAGGCCGGCACTGGCAGCGGCACTGGGAGTGCTGGGCAGTCCCTACCGCCCACGGCGAGTTTGCGCTGTGACTCTGAAGCCCCGGCCAGGCCCTCTGCTATTTGCTATTGCATCCACAAAACGCCAGCATGCCAAGGCTGGGGCTCAAAGGCGCTGCGGCGGCAGAGGCGTCTGTGCGGGTGGGAGGCGAAAGCTAACGCGAAGAACAGATGGATGAGTCGGAGAGCTCTGGCCTCCCCGCTGGTCCGGCCTCGCGGGCGCGGGGTGGCAGAGAGGCCCCGGCGGCTTCACAGGGCGTGGGTCCGGCCCAGCAGGACGCGCTCCCGCTGGAGGCGAAACCCAGAAACCCAGCCTGGTGGCCGAGCTGTGCCCCCCGTGGGGACCCTGGGAAGAGTGTGCCTACAGGACCTCCCATCTCCTGATGGACAAGCGCGAAATCCAACGCTGACAGCGGACAGTGGCTGCTCCGGGGGTGGATCATGGGTTATTTTTCCCCACTGCTTCAGAATTTCCCAACTGCGCACACCCTCCACAGCGCGGGAGACGAAGAGCGCAAAGAAACCAAATGCTGGCGTCGGGATTAACTGGCGATCACCACACCAGCAAATGCTCCCCGTGCCCAGGGACGGGCCGCTCACGCTGCCTGCGCCCCACACCACGCAGCGCTGGCCCCCACACGCCTCCCACCACGCCACACGCACCTGGGAGTTCTGGATCCTGATCGTCCCAGGTGACAGCGCCTGTGTCACCACTTGGCCCTGGGGAGTGACAACCGTGACGGGCTGGTACACTGTGCCACCTTGAAAGGGAGAGGGAAAATAAGCCGCTTTGAAGTCTTAATGCTGTAAAACCTTCTTCCTGACGTACTCACAGCAGCACTAAAATCTCTAGTTTGACGAGTTTTAACCATGTCAGATGACCAACATCACTCTGCCAGTTGACTTGTCACTGTGAATCCTCAGAACTCCCTGGCGGGGAGGACGGGCGCCGAGCCTGACAGCGCACGAGGCGCGGCCAGCCGGCGGGGCGGGCTCCGTCCTCTGCCCTGCCTCTGCTTTCTACTTTTCCTAAACATTTGGCCAAAGGCACTGAACAGTGCCTATCCATGCTTTCTAACTGAGCTTTCGAGCTCTTCCCTGCGAGCTCTTCCGTGTAACTTCTCCCCCGCCCGCACGCCCACCCGTTCTCACGGGGCTGCGCTCGCGACCATGCACCTGCACCGGGACCCTGGCCCTCCTGTAAGGTTTTGTTCCACAAGTGAGACTAAAACTAAGACGGCGTTTGTATTTCACTGTCATCAGTAATAAAACTTAAGATTTCAGGGTGCTGCTAGAAGCACAATTAAAAACTATGATATCTGAAAATGATAACTGGTTTCTGCTATATATTTTCAACTCCCATACGAAACCTTTTTTCTTTCCAATATATTTTTCACAAAGAAACACAATTTACATAGAATATTTGTTATTAAGAATTAACAAGAAATGGGCAAAGAGTACCAGCTTCTAACACTACTCCATCACGGACTAGCATCAGTTAAAACCCATATTTATATATGATTTAAAACCCTCATTCTAACATACAGGACCTTTTCTCTGTAAAAGCTCACGGACAAAGTGTCCATCTGCCCGTCACCGTACCTGCCACGGTCGCCATGGCTACGTTTCCCTGCTGCAGCGCAGACGCTGGCACCACGATGCCTTGGGGGCTGATGGTGCCCGTGATGGCACTTTGAATCTGCTGCAAGTCAGAACACACATGTTGAGGCACTACTCGAAAACAGAAAACCCAGGTTTAAAACTTCAAAATAAGTGAGATGATGATATCGTTCATAAAGGAAAGAGACGCATGGGACAAACGGCGTGCTCAGGTGACAAGGCTTTCAGAAAGCATGCACCACATATGTGGAAACCAAGACGTGCAAGACGAACTGTGCATTAAATACAGCTGTCAGTACTGAAATGCGGGTTTGCACTGTGGCTCCAAAAGATTATTTTTCACCTCATTGCCATATTCCACACACCTTAAAGCCCTGGAGGTGTGACTAGGAAGACCCGATTTCTGTTACCCTGATCACAGCACAGACCACGTGTGAGCACCCCTGTTCTTGTCTGTAGAGTACTCGGGACTGGGCCTGCCTGCAGCAAGCTCTATGCAGATGTTTGCCAACTCTACCCATCGGGAATCATCCATGTGGGCTACATTATCCGTTTGCTATGATGGCTGGGTTTGCAGCTGGCAGGGGAGAGGGGCGTCTAGCACAAGGCCTGGCACAGCACGCACCCCAATTATTTGAGTAGTTAAATAGCAAGGTGGATATCAACCAAAGGCGATTCCTCTGTGGGCTACCATTGATTTGAGTGTATAAGCTTTGGTAGGCGTGCTTAAAATCTGCTGCATAATAAATGTTAAGCCATCAGACTCAATAATCTAAGCTGTAACCTTAAGATCCTAGTAAAAGAAAAACATAATGAACCCAAGGCAGAAGATAGGAAATGATTAAGATCAGAGCAGAAATAAATGTAATTGAAAATAAAATTAAAAAAAAAACAGAAAAATCAATGAAACAAAATGCTGGTTCTTTGAAAATTTCAAAACATAAGCCTCTAGAAAGACTGACCAAAAAAAAAAAAAAAAAAAAAAGAGAGAGAAAGAGAGAGACAGAGAGATGACTGATAGCAGGAACAAAACAGGGAGATGGCCACAGACCCTGCAGACGTGCAGAGGCTGAGAGGGAGTGCTGGACACTGCTAACAGAACTGTACACGCCTCAGTTTATCCCCTGAGATGGAACGGACCAATGCCCCAAAACACACCAACCACCATAACTCATCCAATATGAAATAGATAATTCAAACAGTCCTGTAACCACTAAAGAAATTGAATTCATAATTTTAAAACTCCTAAAAAAGGACTCTCCAGGTCCAGTTTTACTGGGGAATTCCATCTTTCAAATGTTTGAAGAAGAATTAAAAGCAAGTCTACATAATTTCTTCCAGAAAACAGAAGAGCAGGGGACACTCCCCAATTCATGTTATGAAGCCTATATTGTCCTGATACCAAAACCAGACACAGTAGGAAAAAGAAAAATACACATTAATACTCTTATGAACATAAACATAAAAATGCCTAACAAAATATTAGTCAATTGAATTCAGGAATATATATAAAAAGAATTGTGCGCCGTGACCAAGTGGAGTTTATTCCTGGAATGCATGGCTTGTTCAATGTTAAAATAAATAAATAAATAAATCCATGTCATCTCCTATTAACAGCATAAAGATGAAAAACCACATGATCACATCAATCCATGTAGGAAAAGCATTTGCTAAAATTCAATGTAATAAAAACTCTCAGAAAAAGAGGAATAGAGGGGAACTTCCCCAAATTGATAAAGAACATCTAGAAAAAACCTACAACCAGCATCATGAATGGTTAAAAGCTAAAAGGTTCTCCCTAGATTGTGACAAAGCAAGATGCCTACTCTTGTCACTCTTAGTCAAGAGAGCACCAGAGCACGGTCTGGCCAGTGCAACACAGCAAGAAAAAGAAAAGGCATACAAACAAACCAGGAAGAAAAAACAGAACTATCCCTATTTGCAGATGACATGACTGAATAGGTAGAAAATCCTAGGGAATCTACAAAAATATCCTCCTAGAACTAATAAATGAGTTCAGCAAGGCCACAGCATATAAGATAAACATACAAAAATCAATTGTTTCTCTATATATTTGCATGAATACATGGAAACAAAAATTAAAAATATAGCACCATTTAGAATCACTCAAAAACCTGAAATACTTCAGTATAATTCTAAACGCATGTATAAGACTTATGTGTCAAAAACTACAAAACACTGATGAAAGAAATCAAAGAAGATGTCAATAAATGGAGAGACACACCATGTTTGTGGATTGGAAAACTCAACATACTAAATAAAGACATCAATTCTCCCCAAATTGATGCACAAGTTTACTGCAATTCCTATCAAAATCCCCGTAAGATTTTTTTGTAGATCTAGACAAGATTATTCTAAAATTCATATGGATAAACAAAGGAACTAGAACAGTTAAAACAATTTTGAAAATAAGCTATAGTGATCAAGATTATATGGCACAAACACACAGATCAATGCAACAAAACAGGAAACACAGAAAAGGGCCCCACAAATATGCCCAATTGATTTTTGACAAAGGTGCAAAAAACAATTTAGTGGAAGAAGGATCGCTGTTCAACAGACGGTGCTGGAGCAAATGGAGACCCACAGGGCAAAAAATGAGCCTCAGCCTAAACCTCGTGTTTTATATAAAAGTAAACTGAAAATGGATCGTGGACTTAAATGTAAAACTATAAAACTTTTAGTAAAAAACATAAAATCTTTGGGGCCCGGTGCTAGGCAAAGAGTTCTTAGACTTGGCACAAAAAGTGTGACCCATAAAAGGAGAATAAATTGCACTTTATCAAAGTTAAAAGTGCCTGCACTAGGCCAGGCGAGGTGGCTCACGCCTGTAATCCTAGTACTCTGTGAGGCTGAGGCAAGAAGATCGCTAGAGGTTAGGAGTTCAAGACCAGCCTGAGCAAGAGGTGAGACCCCTTCTCTACTAAAAATAGAAACTTAGCCGGGCATGGTGGTGCATGCCTATAGTCCCAGCTACTTGGGAGGCTAAAGCAAAAGGACTGCTTGAGCCTAGAAGTCTGAGGTTGCTGTGAGCCAGGTGGACCCCATGACACTCTAACTGGGTCAGAGTGAGACTCTGTCTCAAATAAAAAAAGTCTCTACTCCAAAAGACTTGTTAAGAGTATGAAAAGAGGGCCAGGCATGGTGGCTCATGCCTGTAATCTAGGAGGCCAAGGCGGGAAGATCACTCGAGGCCAGGAGTTTGAGATTAGCCTAAGATCAAGAATCCATCTCTACTAAAAATAGAAAAATTAGCCTGTATTCCTAGCTACAGCTACTTGGGAGACTGGGGCAGGAAGAGCCCTCGAGCCCAGGAATTAGAGTTTGCAGTAAGCTATGATGATGCCACTGTACTCTACCCACAGTAACAGAGTAAGACTGTCTCAAAAAAGAGGATGAGGCCGGGCACGGTGGCTCACACCTGTAATCCTAGCACTTTGGGAGGCCAAGGCGGGCGGATTGCTCGAGGTCAGGAGTTCGAAACCAGCATGAACAAGAGCGAGACCACGTCTCTACTAAAAATAGACAGAAATTAATTGGCCAACTAAAAATATATAGAAAAAAAAAATTAGCCGGGCATGGTGGCACATGACTATAGTCCCAGCTACTCGGGAGGCTGAGGCAGGAGGATTGCTTGAGCCCAGGGGTTTGAGGTTGCTGTGAGCTAGGCTGATGCCATGGCACTCACTCTAGCCTGGGCAACAAAGTAAGACTCTGTCTAAAAAAAAAAAAAAAAAAAGAGGATGAAAAAGATACTTAGCTACAGACTTGGAGGAAATATTTGAAAACCACATATCGAGTAAAAAACTAGTATCTAGAATAACAAACGAAATCCCAAAAATCAAAAGTTTTTTTAAAAAAATTAGAAAATGGGGAAAACACATGAGCATTTTACCAAAGAAACTATACGAATGGCATATAAGCACATGAAAAAATATTCAACATCATTAGCCATCAGGGAAATTAAAAATTAAAACAGCACTGAAGGCCGGGCGCGGTGGCTCACGCCTGTAATCCTAGCACTCTGGGAGGCCGAGGCGGGTGGATTGCTCGAGGTTGGGAGTTTGAAACCATCCTGAGCAAGACCCCGTCTCTACTAAAAATAGAAAGAAATTAATTGACCAACTAAAAATATATATACAAAAAATTAGCCAGGCATGGTGGTGTATGCCTGTAGTCCTAGCTACTCGGGAGGCTGAGGCAGGAGGATCGCTTGAGCCCAGGAGTTTGAGGTTGCTGTGAGCTAGGCTGACGCCACGGCACTCACTCTAGCCAGGGCAACAAAAGTGAGACTCTATCTCAAAAAAAAAAACAGAACAAAAAAAACACTGAAGAGTCACCACGCAGCATCGTAATGGCTAAAGTGCAATAGTGCCTCAGCATGGGTGACACTTAATAGCATTTTGCTAAATGAAACGAGCTGGTCACAAGAGGACACTGTTCGATTTCACTTGTATGAGGGACCTGGTGTACTCACATCCGCAGGGACAGCCGGGAGAACGGCGGGTGCCAGAGGTGGAGGAGGGGATGGGGACTTAGTGTTTAGCGGGGCTGAGTTTCAGTTTGGGAAGACGAGAGAGTTCCGCAGAGGGATGGCGCTGCTGGCTGCACCACGCTGTGACCGTGCTTCACGCCCCTGAACTGCGCACTCACAGACAGGTAAGATGCTAACTGTTACGAATATTTACACGATCTTTAAAAATAATAAACACACATTTTTAAAAGAAAGAAATTAATGGTACCGTACCCTCCACCAACGTGGGACTGGGCCCAGTACGCAGACTGAGGACTCACTGCGCACCCCGAGAGGGTTCATTCCCAAACCAGGCCGCGGTCAGGGCGCTACAGGGCCCTTCCGGCAAGAGGCCCTGAGACAGCCCAGCAACTCCGGAAGAGCTGGGGGCCTCGCGAGTGAGTGCGGCGTCTGCCGCGGCGAGACGTACGCACCTGGGACTGCACGGGCGAGTACGGGCTCCCCGGCTCTCCACTCAGCAGCGTCTCACTGTTCATTTTCGTTTTCAGGCAAGCAATATATCGACTGCAGAAATCTTTGCAGAGTTCATTAACCTTTTCCAGCTCAAGAAGATGAATGCGCAAAACCTGGATTGCTTTTACCATCTAGAACAGAGGAAATAAAGACCTTCAGACAAGACAGAGGCAGCAGCGTGGTAAGCGACCACTGTCACACGTGCCAGCTCTTAGTCACCACGTGGAACCACCTTTACCGGCAGCGACAGAATGGACTCGCATCAGCAGCCGCACACACTGAAGTTCTAGTGCTGTGTGTCGGCTGCACCCGGGACACAACAGCGCCCGGTGCCGACCTCAGCACGCCCCGGCGCCGGGAGCGCGGGCTCTGGGCCTGTGGACAACCGGCTGGGGCCCAGCTCCAGCGCCAGCTGGCTCTGCAGCGGCCGAGTCACTTACCCTGGCTACTCCTGCAGCGGGCGAGTCACTTACCCTGGCTACTCCTGCAGCGGCCGAGTCACTTACCCTGGCTACTCCTGCAGCGGCCGAGTCACTTACCCTGGCTACTCCTGCAGCGGCCGAGTCACTTACCCTGGCTACTCCTGCCGCTGCGTCCATAAACAGGACGTGTCCACACCCACTCCTAGGTGGCTCTGAACTTTCATAATGTTCACTTTTGGAGCCCTAGATCTTAAAGATTTTCTCTTATGGTTTTTCTAGAAGTTTTTTATTTTTGTATTAAGTTGCTAATGGGGTAATCCGTCCCACAGCAATAGCCAACTAATATCAACAACAAAACCACTTTCGTAAGTGGCACATGCCTGCGAAGCAACAGCCCCAAAGCGCCTCTCCTTCCCTAGCAACGCCATGGTGGCGATCCACACGTTTCTGCACACGTATCTGCGCAACGAGTCATCAACTGATCAACAGCAAGAGTCACCGAGCGTCAGGCTCTGCTGGGCCCTGTGCTGACCAGTCACCAGTGAGGAGAACCTCGGTCCCTGCCAACCCCGAGGGGCAGTGAGGACACCGCCCGCCACTCGCTGAGCCAAGGCAGGAGTGGGCCGACGGAAAGACGGTGCCCGACAGACTCGGGGCAGAGCGCGTTCTGACCGTCGCCCCAAAGGGCAGGCTCTGTTACTCTCATTTCGGGGAATGTGGAGACAGACTCAAAGTCAGATAGCTTGCTTATAAAATCTATTAGGTGGCCAGGCACGGTGGCTCATGCCTGTAATCCCAACACTGGGAGGCCGAGGCGGGCAGATCGCTTGAGGCCAGGAGTTTAAGACCAGTCTGAGCAAGAACGAGACCGTGTCTCTATAAAAACATAGAAAAAATTAGCCGGGCGTGGTGGCGCATGCCTGTAGTCCCAGCTATTCGGGAGGCTGAGGCAGGAGGATCACTTGAGCCCAGGAGTTTGAGGTTGCAGTAAGCTAGACTGATGCCACGGCACTCTAGCCAGGGCAACAGAGTGATACTCTGTCTCAAAAAATAAAATAAAATCTGTTAGGTGGTTGGGCACAGTGGCTCACGCCTATAATCCTAGCACTCTGAGAGGTGGATGTGGGAGGATTCCTTGAGCCCAGGAGTCTGAGGTTGCTGTGAGCTAGGCTGACGCCACGGCTCTCTAGCCGGGGCAATATAGAGAGACTCTGTCTCAAAAAAAAAAAAATACAACAAAAAAAACCTATTAGGCAGTAGGGACTGAGTATATCATAAGAATTTTTATTTTTGTATTTTTTTTTTAAATAATAGACATTAACCCCAAGGAACCTTTACAAATACACAGGAGAGAACTGAATCCCCTAGACCAGGGGTCCTCAAACTTTTTAAACAGGAGGCCAGTTCACTGTCCCTCGGACCACTGGAGGGCTGGACTATAGTTTTAAAAAAAACTATGAACAAATTCCTATGCACACTGCACATACCTTATTTTGAAATAAAAAAACAAACGGGCAAAAACACCCACATGTGGCCCGAGGACCATGAGGACGCCTGCCCTAGACCAGTTAGGGTGGAGGCTCAAATTATTTATTTGGTTATTAAAGGGCAACTAGAGATAGCTAGAAGACGTAGGGACATCCAAGTTACACGCACTACAAAATAACTTATTCTATAATGACATGGTTCCCTCCTTTAGCAGAACTACAAGCAGTCCAAAGTTCTAATTATAAGTTTAAAACTCTACTTACTAAATTGTCAGTTTCTGGATCTTCACAAAAGAAGGGTTTCCCTTCTTTTTCTTGCTTCCTTACAAAATTTTCAATGTCCACATCAAAACTGGCAGAAGTTGTGCCTTCAGAGCCCTGGGTAGATTGTTCACATTTTTCAAACAACAAAGCTAATAATGGGAATAGTGGATGCCTGGTGGAGGAAAAAAAGAAGAAGAATAAACATGTGCTTTGCATCGCCATGAGAATGCTTTGGTATGTATGCATGCGTTATTTTATGTAACACTTTTGTTGGGCTATAATTCATATACCACACAATTCATCCATTTAAAGTGTAAAATTCAATGGTTTTTAGTATATTTATAGAGTTGTGCAACTGTTGCCACAGTCAATTTTAGAACTTTTCCATCATCTCCAAAAGAAACCTTGTACCCATTAGCAGTGGGTCCATTTCCCCCAAGCCCCAGCCCACCACAAATCTACTTTCTCTTTATATACATTTGCCACTTCTAGACATTTCATATAAGTGGAATCATTTAATACGTGGCCCGTGGTGATTGGTGTCTTGTTTTTGAGGCTTATTAATGTTGTAACATGTACCAGTACTTCATTCCTTCTTATGGCCAAATAGCCCATCACATGGATGTACCATACTTTATCTGTCTGTCCGTCAGGTGATGGCCATGTGGTTATTACGGTTAACGCTGCTATGAACATTCGTGTACAAGTTTTTGTGTGGGCGTATGTTTTCATTTCTCTTGGTATGTGCATACAGTGGAACAGCTAGCTAGCTCATAGGTAACTCTACGTTTAATTTTTTGAGGAACTGCAGGACTGTTTCCCAAAGTAGCTGCACCATTTTCCATTCCCACCAACAGTGTATGAGGACACTAATCTCTCCACACCCTCAACACTTGCTATTTTCTGTTTTTTTAACTACAGTCATCATAATGAGTGGTGTATCTCTGGTATTTTATTTTATTTTATTTAGAGTCAGAGTCTCACTCTGTTGCCCGGGCTAGAGTGCCGTGGCGTCAGCCTAGCTCAACAGCAACCTCAAACTCCTGGGCTCAGGCGATGCTCCTGCCTCAGCCTCCCAAATAACTGGGACTACAGGTGCATGTCATGATGCCTGGCTAGTTTTTTCTATTTTTAGTGGAGATGAGGTCTCGATCTTGCTCAGGCTGGTCTTGAACTCCTAGCCTCAAGCTATCCGCCTGCCTCGGCCTCCCAAATTGCTGGGATTACAGGCGTGAGCCACTGCACCTGGCCTTTGGTATTTATTTTTAATTACACAATAAATGAATACATACCTCTTAAAAAAATTCAGACCATACAGATCAAGCAGAAATCCTCTTGGGTACCACACTGCACTCCACCCCCCTCCCCTCTCCCCCAGAGTGGTCACTATAATGTTTTAATGGGTGGCCTCTTCCTGAGGATGCTGTACCTTCACACAGTTCTGTAACTTGATTTGTTCTTCAAAATGTTCGTATGTCACACAAACAGGACTGGCTTCATAGGTATAAGATTTGGGAGCTGCCCAGGGCCTCTACTCAGTGGAATGTTCTACTATTACTGTCCTTAAAACTCTGGCTGCATTTGGAACAAAAAGCACCACGCTTTCTTTTTGCACTGGGCCCCATAAATTCCATAGCCAGGGCTGCTTGCAAGACTGTGTCCGTACACAGAAATCCGTATCTTAACTGCAGCAATGCAGGACACAGTATGAAATTCCAACAGTGTGACCATTCATCTATTTGCTGGCTGTATGCAGATAATTACTGTTTACAAACACTGTAGGAGAGACATGGTATACAATTGCAATGACCATCCAGGAGCGCTATCTAGAAATGGAATCGCATACACATTATACAAGTTATTACCGTCACATGCTACAACAGGGATGCCTTGAGGACATTATGCTAAGTGAAATAATTTGTCACAAAAGACAAATATTGCATAATTCCACTTACATAAGTCTCTAAAATAGTCAGGTTCCTAAAAACACAAAGTAGGATGGCAGTTACCAGGGCTGGGCGAGGAAGGAGGAAAAGATGACTGACAGTTGTTTAGTGGGTACAGAGTTTCAGATCTGCGAGATGAAAAAGTTCTGATTTGTTTCACAGCAATGTAAATATACTTTATACTACCAAACTGTGCACTTAAAAATGGTTAAGGTGGTAAATTTGTTATGTGTTTTTTACTACAGTTAAGAAAAAAAAAAGAAAAAATGGGATAATCAATTAAAAAGAGTTGTTTGAGAGCCAAAATGCTCTGCAGAAGTCAGTTCCACTCACAACGACAGAGATTCTCATGGGTCTTGTCTTATTTTGGCCAATCTGATGAGCCAAAAGTATATCCCACTGCTGAATGTTTTTTGTGTGTTTGGCCATTTACTTTCCTCTTCAGAAACCTGCCTGCTTTGTCACTTATAGGCTGTTTTTCTTTTATTGATCACTTTAAACTTTTAAGATATTAATACTTTGTCTTTATGTCATACAAATTTTCTCCCATTTTGTCACATAAATGGTTTATTGTGAACTATTCGAATTTATCAGTCTTTTTCAATTTGTGCCTTATTTAAGAAGGCATCCTCAACTCAAAGTTATATAAATATTTTTCTAATTTCTTATACAATTTTAATCTTATAAACACTGGGATCTTTAATCTAACTGGAATTTATTTTTATGAACAAAGTGAGGTAAGAATCTCAGGTTTTTCCCCAAATAGCCAATAGTTCCTACAATATTTATTAGTTTGTCTTCTACTGATTTGAAACCTCCCATTTATTATATATTATATTTCCATACATATACTCAGCTCTGAACTCTCAGTTCTGTACACTGAGGCACTCCCTATGTGCCCTGCATTAATGTGCTGGTGAAATGACCGTGACTAACAGATTGTTTTAAATTTTGTGGTAACTTTACTTCCATTGTTCTTTTCTCAAGTTTCTTAGCTATTGTTGCACATTTTCTTCTACCAGATGAATTTCAGAATCAGTTTCTTTTTCAGTCCTATTTGGCTTGGATTATATCGCCTTCAATTTATAAAATAATTCAGGAAAGAGTGTGTTTGCATCTGGGGACATGCGGAAGCTCTCCCCTGAATCAGGTTTTTGTTTACATTCTTCATTAAAATTGTCATAGTATTCTCTATGTAGTTCTTGCATACTTATTATAGGTTTATTCCTAGTTATTTTATAGTTTTTTTAGCTATTCTAAGTGGAATTATTTTATTTAAAAAATATTTTTGGGCTGGGCGCGGTGGCTCACGCCTGTAATCCTAGCACTCTGGAGGCGATGGGGCATGCTCGAAGGTCAGGAGTTCCAAACCAGCCTGAGCAAGAGCGAACCCGTCTCTACTAGAAATAGAAAGAAATTCATTGGCCAACTAATTATATAGAAAAATTAGCCGGCATGGTGGTGCACGCCTGTAGTCCCAGCTACTCGGGAGGCTGAGGCAGAAGGATCGCTTGAGCCCAGGAGTTTGAGATTGCTGTGAGCTAGGCTGACGCCACAGCACTTACTCTAGCCCGGGCAACAAAGCGAGACTCTGTCTCAAAAAAAATAAAAAATAAAATAAAATAAATAAATACATAAATAAATAATATTTTTGTTATTTTTTTCTTTCCATTTCCACAGGTATCAATATAAAAAATTTTTAATTGCATTAGTTCTAAGGTATATGAAACCAATTTGTTAAAAAATCTGACCATGGTATTTATCTTCCAAATTATCCAACAGTGAAGCTGACTGTCCTTGAAGTGCAGGCACATGAATTCAGCACGTGTGCAGCTGGCGCGAGCTCTACCGAGGTCAGGACACAGGGAACCCCACCTCCCCCCCACCCCACAGTCCGAGCCCCAACCCTGCAACCACCGGCTGGTCACCATGACTACATTTTGTCTTTTCAAGAATGCCATGTAAACGCAATCTCACAACATATAACCTTTCGGGAATGGCCTCACTCACGCGGCATGATGCAGCTAGAGTCCAAGTTGTTCCGGGTACCCACGTCCCTTCCTCTCTATTACCGAGAAACATGTCATTGCACGGTCACACGGAAGTCCTCACTAACCCTGACAGGTTCTTGGAAGCTGCTGCCTACAGCAGGTCCTCAAATAACACCATGTTGATGAGAAAAAACAAACTGGTTTCGTTACATGTCGTTTCGCTTCAAGTCACAGATTCCAAGTGGCTGGATGCTTAGTGAGGACTTACTATAACACCATTTGTCTGTCCATTCATCAGTTGGGAAACATTTGGGTTGTTTCCAGTGTCTGACAAGTATGAACAGTGTGCATGTGCAGGTGACAGATACTTGTACACCACTGTTCACAGCAGCAATACTGACAGTAGTCACAGGTGGAAACAACCCCAGTGTCCACTGACGAATGGCTAAACAACGTGGCAGATACACACAATGAAACATCACTCAATCTTAAAAAGGAAGAAGAATCTGACACATGCTACAACGTGGATGAACCCTTATGACATTATGCTAGGTGACATAAGGTTGTCACAAGAGGACAAATACTGTATGATTCCACTTATACGAGATACCTGGAATCATCCAATTCACAGATAGAAAGTGGAACGATGGTTGCCAGGAGCTGGGAGGAGGAGGAGGAGGAAATGGGGAGTTAGTGTTGAGTGGGGACAGAGTTTCAGTTCGGGATGAAGAAGCAGCTCTGGACACAGATGGCTGTACAACAATGTGAATGAACTCAATACCAATCATACCCAAATAGGTTAAGATAGTAAATTTTGTTATATATATTTCACCACATTAAAGAAAAACTCATACATAGGATTTTGTGTGAATTTCACTTCTCATTTCTCCAGGGTAGATGCCCAGGAGCACTGGGGACGGCCCAGCCATATAGAATGCACGTGTTTGTTAGAGAGGACACACCGCTTCCACGCCCACAGCCCGTCGGTGTCCCACGGGCGGTGCAAGGGAGGCTGTTGCTCAGCACTCTCTGCCAGTGTTAGTTCCATCACTTTTTTCACTTCAGTGGTTCTAACAGATGCACAGTGGTACCGTCTCATGGCTTCCGTGTTCGTCTCCCTGACCACTAATAACTTTCACAACCCAAACCAGTCTTGCCTTCCTGGGACAGACTCCACATGGCCACTGTGCATTATTCTTTTCATATAGTGCTAGGTTCGACTTGTTAATATTTTATTCATCATTTTTACATCTAAGTTCGAGAGGAATATTGGTCCGTATTTTTCTTGTTTTGTGTTACCTCTGTCTGTTTTTACTATCAGAGTGATGCTCAGATCACAAAATGAGCTGGGAAGAGATTGTGTGGACTTGCTGTTCTTTTCTTCTTCATATGTTCAGTAGAATTTCCCAGTAAAACCATCTGGGCCTAAAGATTTCCTTTACAAAGTCATCTAAAATGTAGTTTAGGCTGGGCATGGTGGCTCACACCTGTAATCCTAGCACTCTGGGAGGCCCAGGCGGGCGGATTGGTCGAGGTCAGGAGTTCCAAACCAGCCTGAGCAAGAGCGAGACCCCATCTCTACTATAATTAGAAAGAAATTAATTGGCCGACTAATATATATATAGAAAAAAAAAATTATCAGACAACTGACTTGTTTGGAGAAAAGAAGAAAGTAAAAATTTAATATTATTTAAATATAGATTAAAGTAAAATAAAAAAAAAAAAAAAAAAAAATTAGCCGGGCATGGTGGCGCATGCCTGTAGTCCCAGCTACTCGGGAGGCTGAGGCAGCAGGATTGCTTGAGCCCAGGAGATTGAGGTTGCTGTGAGCTAGGCTGACACCACAGCACTCACTCTAGCCTGGGCAACAAAGCGAGACTCTGTGTCAAAAAAAAAAAATTAAAAATAAAATGTAGTTTATACTTCAAAACTTTTTAATAGATTTTAGAAATAACATCGTAATCTGAGATTTTCACCCACGTCATCTCTGCTCTGCCTGGCAGTAGCTCCAGCGTCCACCTAACGCAGGTCTCCATTCTCTTTCCCCCTGCGAGAACCCCGCCCGCCCCGCAGCCCTGGAGGGCTACCTATAAATGGCCTGCTTGTCTGCGTCCATCGGGGTCTGAGACTCCGCAGGGGGCGGGCTCACTCCTTCCGCATCAGGTTCAGAGCAGTTTGGATCTTGCTCTGTCTTTAACTCTGTTACTACTTGCATCTGTAAAGGAGGAGGACAATTTTTGTTACCAAACACAAAATAAACCGCTAAGTATTGTATTCTCCAACAGGAATGCAATCAGAATGGCAAATTGCCAGACAGTTATACGACTGGCAGCAACACATAAGGAATATTGCCAACAAAACTCTCTTCGATTTAATATGCTTTAAAAATAGATAAAAATAAAGGTTAAATTCCAAAACTGTTTAAGAACTGAGATGACCAACCAATATCTCTTAAATACTCACGATTTTTAAAATCAAAGTAACTGTACACTATTGAAGGGAATTCTTGCTACGTATCCTCACTTTTAATAATCCTACAGGGCCGGGCGCAGTGGCTCAGGCCTGTAATCCCAGCACTCAGAGAGGCCAAGGCAGGAGGATAGCTTGAGGCCAAGAGTTCAAGACCAACCTGGGCAACAGAGTGAGACCCCATCTCAACCAAAAAACAAAACAAAACAAAAACAACAAAATAATACTAGAATACAAGTAAGAGAAGTATGAAGTATAAAGAAATAGTCCAAGTTCTTATCATAAAAACAACTCAAACCCAACATGCTACGTATTTGGACAGGGATGAAATTCTCCCACATATACCTCAAATCTCAGGAATACATAAGCTATAAAAATGTTAAGAAATGTCACTGAATTCAGAACATAAAGGCCAGATGTGTTTCCTTAAAGTCTTAAAGATACTACCATCTAAATTGTTTTAAACAAGCTATGTGTTTATCACTTAGGTAAAAAGCATTTAAGTCCTTAAACAAAGAATTCAGTTTACAAAAATATTTTGCTCCAGTAAACTATTAATTATCCATGAGCAGCAGATTATATTGTCCTGACCTCAGATTCTTCAGGCCCAGCCTGGCCATCCCTCTGCCCCCAGCGGAACCAGCCTGCGAGGAGGGGACAGGCTGTGCTCTGTCCCTCCAGTGAGAGGAGACAACTGTCCTCCTACTGCCCTGGGATGGCACAAAACACCTGGGAAACTGGTTTTCTCCTGTCTCTTTGGAGACAGAATCTCACTCTGTCACTTGGGCTAGACTGCCATGTGATGCCTAACTCACTGCAACCTCAGACTCCTGGGCTCAAGCGATCCTCCTGCCTCAGCCTCCCGAGTAGCTGGGACCACAGGTAGCACTCGCCACCACGCCCAGCTATAGATGAGCATGTTAGAAAACAAATCACTTGTAAATGCTGAAGGACTTCCAGGCTGGTAAAGCAGGCTAAAACTTCATCATGGAACGCTCCTCCCTCAGCTCCTGTAAGAAGCAAAAAGCACTTAAAAAGTGCCAGTAAAGGCCAGCCATGGTGGCTCACGCCTGTGATCCCAGCACTCTGGGAGGCTGAGGTGGGAGGATCCTTTGAGCTCAGGAGTTCGAGACCAGCCTGAGCAAGAGTGAGACCCCGTCTCTATGAAAAGTAGAAAAATTAGCCGGGACAGGGAGGCAAGGAAGGCAAGCCCCCTCGGTGCCCCAACACCCTCCGCAGACGCTCGGGGCGGTGCCAGTGAGCCGCCCTGCCCTGCCCGACTCTGCAGTGAAAACCACTGCGCAGGGAAGCAAAGGGCAGGGCCGAATCTCTTCACCGGAGATGAGCTTCAGAGCTCCCGAGTCTAGCGGGCTCGGGGGACACACGGAGAAATGCTCTTGCCCAAGTGCCTCAGCTGAGCCTCCTCCTGCCTCCTCCTCCTCCTCCTCCTCCATTCCTTCAGGTCACAGGGCACAATACGCAGATACTCAAGAACACAAGTACTGCAGTTTCCAGGAAAACAAAGTCCATCTCCAGCGGGAGGACAGCGCCATCCAGGCATGTGCAGGCAAGAGCGCGAGCAGCGGGGCTCGCACATGCATTACTGGGATGGCCCCGCGTGCTCCTAACTGCGGACACGAAACCACCGAATGCCCATTAGAAAGGTGACCGAGTAAGACATTCAGATTGGTGACTGGTCAACATGGGAATCTGTGATTATCAAAACCAATCAGCTTGTCTTTAAAAGCAACAATACAAATTAATACTGATGTCAAAAAGGTAAATTCCAAAACAACTATCATGTTTGGAGGGGTGGGGTTCAAAATTACTGGCAATCTTGGTATCACGTAAGGAAATGATATGAATAATTCTACAGTTTATCTTTCTGAACACCAACATGGAGCAGGTGCATACCATACTTAAAATTGAACATGCAGCCTCATGGAAACTGCATTATAAACACACAAAGCACGTCCACGTGTTAGTGCCGGCCGGCTGTAAGGAGAATGCAGAACTAAGTTCGGGTCTCACTTGCTGCCCGTCCTGATAGCTGTCTATGCTCAGCGTCTGTGTGGCCATCATGGTTCCCGAGGGCTGTGCGAGAAGTCAGATCATCCTGAGTGGCGGCACATGGAGTCTGGGGACAAAAGGAGAAGAGCGTCAGTCAAGAGGCGGAGAGCGTGCCTGGTCTCCCTTCCTCCACAGCATCCATATAACTTTTTAAAAATACACACTTTTACATGGAGAGAAAAAACTCATCTTTAACACTATGTTCTAAGCCAAGTCTGGCCTGGCAGCATCTCACCTACTGAGCAATGACTTACTTCACTGTGCCGGGCCCTGACTTGCTATTACATTTTCAGCCACCTGCGTTCACCACCCAACACCTCTGCCAAACACCGCCGGGTCCTGGGGTGCAGCAGCAAGACAGGTGAGCCCGTGTCCTGGAGCAGGGCAGGCGAGCAGGGGACCACACGCAGGGGAAGCAGCAGGTAGCAGCACGCCCAGGAGCACATCGCCGAGTGAGACAGGGCCGTGGGTCCCTTGCCCAGGCGGGTGGCCGGGTCAGGCCTCTCTGGGATGCTGTCATTTCAGCCGAGACCTGAACGACATGCTGAGATCGGGAAGACTGGTGTTCTGAAGAGAGGGTCGGGCCAGGCCGTAGACCCAGACAAGGGGGCCACGCTGAGCACTCTTCTAAACACAGGCACGTGATACAGACATGTAAGCAGTGGCTCATCTGCTTGATGACATAAAAGCTTGAACGTAAAGCCCTGAACTATCGCTCACAGGCTGCAGCGAGGGGCCGCCTGAAACGTGGATGCAGAACGGCACGCAGTGTCGGTGCAGGGCAGCCGGGCCCCAGCGCAGCCGGCACAGGACAGTGACATCGGGGGCAGGTCACACAGACTCAGAGTCTAGGCTACGCAGAGAAGGTCATGTGGAGCTCGAAGGTGGTTGTGCCACCTGTCCAGTACAAGCAAGAGCACCGGAGGTCCCCAGGGGAAGCAACACAGTAGGACTGTGGCACCCAATCCCCGGACCGTGGACGGGTACTGGTCCATGCCCTGTTGGAACTGGGCCACATGGCAGGCGGTCAGTGGCAGGTGAGAGCGAAGCGTCATGTGTATTTACAGCTGCTCCCCAGCGTCACTGCATGAGTTCTGCCTCCTGCCAGATCAGTGGTGGCATTAGATCCTCATAGGAGCGAGAACCCTACTGTAACCTGCACATGCTAGAGGGATCTGGGCTGTGTCTCCTTATGAGGATCTAAGGCCTGATGATCGGAGTGGAGCTGAGGCGGTGCTGCCGGTGCTGCCAGCCCTGGGGAGCGGGTGCAAATGCAGATCGTCATTAGCAGAGAGGTTTGACTGCACAATAAATGTGATACTCTTGAATCGTCCCCAAACCATCCCCACTCCCCATCTGTGGAAAAACTGTCTCCCATGAAACTGGTCCCTGATGCCAAAAAGGCTGGGGACCACTGCAGTAGGACACTGTGCTAACCAGAGGCAAATCCAGTCCACGCCAAGCATGGTGGGGAAGGAACAGAAGCATGTGCTAAATGGGACAGTTAACAGGAACAGGCGTCCAGCCCACTAACAGCAGAGTGAGGCAGCAGCCCAGCCACTGCCCGAGCCCCTGACACATCTTGGCTCAATCTGCCCTCACCCCACCCTGGAGGGAGGCACTCCTGGGGTGCCCCTTTACATCTGGGCACCTGAGGCATGTGGCCAAGGCTGTGGAGCCAGCCAGAGGCTGAGCTGGGACTCGACCTCAGCAGGAGGGACACAGGCCTCCCGGTTCTGTGGCCGTCACCAGGAACAGAGCCTCTCAGGGCCTGAGGAGTCGGCATGTGTGGGGCAGTCACACAGCATGACTTCATAAGGAGCCATGGGGCAAAAGATCCTTCCATATAGCCTTCTGCAAATGCTTCTCAAGTGCCCGGAACCCTCCCGTGCAGTGCCGGAGTGAGGGCTCTGGGGCACACGCACACACAGCAGGTACGCAGGGAAGTAAGGGGTGAGGGGTGCATGGGGAGGGGTAGAGTGAGTACACGGGGAGGGCGGGTCAGCGAGTGCACAGGGAGGGGAGGTCAGGGAGTACACTGGGAGGGGCAGATCAGCGAGTACATGGGGAGGGCGGGTCAGCGAGTACACGGGAAGGGCAGGTCAGTGAGTGCACAAGGAGGAGCAGATCAGTGAGTACACGGGGAGGACGGGTCAGCGAGTACACAGGGGAGGGGAAGTCAGCAAGTACACGGGAAGGGCAGGTCAGCGAGTACACAGGGAGGGGAGGTCAGTGAGTGCACGAGGAGGGGCATAGGCACAATCCTGGTGACAAGTACGAAGGCAAATATCTTGCTTCGAGGGGGGGGGACAGGAAAGGCCCTGCAAAGAAGGACCTGATGGTGCCGGCAGAGCCACCCAGAACAGGTGTGGCTGGGCAGAGCAGTGAAGGAGGTATGGCGGAGCAGGGAAGTGACCTGGTGACATGGGAGGGGACCACAGAGTCTACGTGCCACAGTGGAGACTCTGGGGTCTGAGCGGACGGGAAGGACTGAGCAGAAGGGCGAGGTGGCTCACGCCCTGACTATGTGAGAAGCACTGCCGTGTGACTTGGGGCCAGGACAGCTGGGCGGCTGTGGCTTGGTCGGGGCAGAGGCAGTGGGCACTGCAAAGCAGGTGTGAGGGTGGAGCCCAGGGCCGGCGGATGGACGGGGGCAGGGTGGAGGTCGGGGATGGGTGGGAGAGCAGAGCCGCGGGTTCCGCGTCGAGGCAGACAGGGAGGAGCGGCCTCCGTGGCCTCCGAGGGGAGAGGGAGGAGGGACACGCAGGTCTGAGAAGCTCCCCGGACGCCCGCGTGGAAAACCCAACAAGGGGCTCTAAGCTAGAAACACAAGCTGCATCACCAGAGCATGGCGGGTCTGTGCAGAGGGCTGAACTCCAAAAAGATGCGCCCAGGTCCCAACTCCCAGGACCTGTGAGGGACCTTATTTAGCAACGGGGTCTTCACAGATGGAATCCTGTTCAGGATCTCGAGATGAGACCACCCCAGATCTCAGATCCCGTGACTGGGCCGTGCAAGAGGCGGGAGAGGAAGAACCGAGGCACGCAGCGGGAACAGCACATGAAGCCGAGTCTGCAAGCCACGGGAGGCTGAGGACGGCTAGGCCGCCAGAAGCTGAAGAGGTAGGAAGAAGCCTCCTCTGCAGCCTCCAGAGGGAGCCCCGCCCTGCTGGCCCCTGGATCTCGGATCTCTGGCCTCCAGACCACGAGAGAACAAATTTCCGTGTTTAATCTACCCAGTGTGTGTTGCTGTCACAGCAGCCCTAGCAAATGAACACAGTGTGTAAAGCCCTAGCTGGGGGAGGCCACGCAGGCAGAGACAGGAGGCCGAGCAGATGTCCTGGAGGGCGGGAGGGCGCGGCAAGGGATGAGGAGCAGCAGCCAGTGGGCCACGAGTGGAACCACACGGAGCCCCTGAAACCTCATGGAGGGGACCAGGAGGCGGGAGTGCCAGCCACGTGACCGCTGAGGGTGGAGCATGGGGGTGGGCAGGAGAGCCTGAACGGGAAGGGCCGTGACTGAGCAGTCCCAGTGCCAGTGCCGGGGTGACCCTATCGACACGACACAACGGCCACTCGCAGCAGCAAAGGCTGGAAACCACTTTCAACAGAAGCCTGGAACACCGGGTACTGGCCACCCAGGAAATGGAGAATGTGCAATCAGAAACTGTGGAGAAGCTTCACGAACCACCATCATCAAAGTTGTCCTCTGTTCCCCAGGACCCCACACATCTGCGAACTTGTCACTCCACATCTCCTACGGCCTCGCCGTGACCCACACTGGCTCTGCTCCAAAGCCCTGACCTCAAGCCTCACTGCCACCTGCTGGCCTGCCCAGCGCAGTGGGTTTGGCACGGTCACCATCACCCCGCATCCCACACCACGGTCGCCCCGATGGCCTCCTGCTGGTTGTGTGAGCCTCTCGTCCTGCCTTCCTCCATCCTCTAAGCATTCTTTTATTTTTGAGACAGAGTCTCACTCTGCTGCCCTGGCTAGAGTGCTGTGGCATCAGCCTCGCTCACAGCAACCTCACATTCCTGGGCTCATGTGATCCTCCTGACTCAGCCTCCCGAGTAGCTGGGACTACAGGCATGCGCCACCATGCCCAGCTAATATTTTCTATATATATTAGTTGGCCAATTAATTTATTTCTATTTCTAGCAGAGATGGGGTCTCGCTCTTGCTCAGGCTGGTCTCGAACTCCTGAGATAACAGGTCACCGGCCCCTTCAAGCTTTCTAAACTACAAGTCTGATCATGTGACTCGCCTGCTTAAAGTTGCCTCTGCCCAACCCCCACCCTCAGGCATCAGCACCCCTACTGGCCCTCCCCTGCCCCGGGAGTTGTGTGAACAGTCCCCAGAGGTCACCCCACCTCCCACCCAGGCCCTCCTCAGCCTGGCAGCTCTGCCCACACACCGCCCCTCTGCACGGCCAGCTCAGGACCTCGCTGGACCACCCATGTCACCCTCCCCAGAGTCTCCGGTGGGTCGCGCGGCCCCTAGCGTCGGGGCCTGCACACGCAGCCTCCGCCCGGGCTGCACAGTGCCCGTTGCTGAGGGAGCCTGTCTCGCTGCATCGCAACGAGCCCAGTCTCTGACGTGCAGTAGGTACGACATAAAATGCTTCTAGAAGAATGAAGCGTAGGCTTAACCTGAAACTAGTCGATGAGCGGACACATTTCTGGACACATAATGTGCAACAGCTCTGCTGCCTGGATCCCGAGTCTCCTTGTTCCGCTCACGGCCACTTGTAACCTTTCTTGTTACTTCGCGGGCTCTGGGTCTGCGTCGCCTCCGCCTGCACAGAGGCGGCGCCGGCTCGAGCACGGGGCCAGTAGCGGGCCGCCGGACGGTCAGAAGAGGGCGTGCGGGACAATCTACCGGAGGAAAAGAAAGGAAGGGCACACGGAAGAAAAACGAACGTTCCCTCAGCACCTCTGTCAGGAGGATCGGCCGCGTCTATTTTATTTGATCCTACACGTGCTGGAGGGAGGTGTGAACTCCACCTTCCAGGGAAGGCAACTGAGGCTGGGCCGCTGGGCCCAGAAATGAGGAGCCGACACGGAACC